TTGGTTGATACATGTCATCGTATTCGAGTTGCGTGGATCGATGCTCATGAGGTCAATCACTGGATTGTCTGGTTCAGACTCGATTATTTACAAACCGCCATCATAAAGCTGGAATATAGCTGAGTGCGGTGTTAAACAACAAACAAACAAACAAACAAACAAATTTATGGCTGAGTAATATGGTTCCAAAGAGTTCCATTTTCAATGTTGGTTTCAAAAACGTGAGACGTTAAAAATGCCCTGTGCGTTACACACACTTTCATTGTTTATGCACATACGTATACATGCAGGGATCAGTGTACGGTTCCCCGTCTGAAGTGACCTGACAGCGATGTATAGATTGCTGTTCTTACTTTATACAGTAGTTAAGTACCAGAACCACTGTGTGTCAGGTCAAGCACTGTGTGTCAGGTCAAGCACCGTGTGTCAGGTCAAGCACTGTGTGTCGGGTCAAGCACCGTGTGTCGTGTCAAGCACTGTGTGTCAGGTCAAGCACTGTGTGTCAGGTCAAGCACTGTGTGTCAGGTCAAGCACCGTGTGTCAGGTCAAGCACTGTGTGTCAGGTCAAGCACCGTGTGTCAGGTCAAGCACTGTGTGTCAGGTCAAGCACTGTGTGTCAGGTCAAGCACCGTGTGTCAGGTCAAGCACTGTGTGTCAGGTCAAGCACTGTGTGTCAGGTCAAGCACTGTGTGTCAGGTCAAGCACTGTGTGTCAGGTCAAGCACTGTGTGTCAGGTCAAGCACTTTGTGTCAAGTCAAGCACTGTGTGTCAGGTCAAGCACTGTGTGTCAGGTCAAGCACTGTGTGTCAGGTCAAGCACTGTGTGTCAGGTCAAGCACTGTATGTCGGGTCAGCGGGTAGCTGTAGTGGTTGTGATGCGTCCCGGACCACCTGGCCAAACCCTCGCTGGGCCAACGGAGAGAGCTCCCTCTTCATCACTAGACCAGGGCTTGCATAGCTTAAGTCATCTGATCATAATAAAGTTATAAAATAAATAATAGTAAAAACAGGAAGGACACAGAGGCAGTGCTCTTTCGGGGAGGCTAACAGTTCAGTTAAAATACAACGGCGCCGAGGATTCACAGTTGGAATAAATATATTCAGTTAATGGCAGTAAGTGATTCTAGACATGGCTACATGGTAATTAGCTTTTGAACTAAGGTTGTCGCGAACAGGTTGCTATGACAATGTCGACTCAGGTCATTGTATCACAACAACCTAAAGTCACACTACTTTGTATAAAATCAAATCTGTATTCTGTGAGTTATAAACGACATCGTTCCTTACAGCACCCTGAAAAGTTTGAGTGAGTGAGTGAATGATTTTAATGCCTTTCTTGAACACTACTTCGGTTATATCATGGCTTATCGGCTCTTTGGTGCAATGTAGATAGACTTTGTTGTTTAACGCCGCATTTAGCAATATTCCAGCTATATGACGATGGTCTGGAAATAATCGAGTCTGGATCAGACAATCCTGTGATTAACATCATGAGCATAGATCCACACAATTGGGATACGATGATATGCATCAACCAAATCACCAGCCTGACCACCCGATCCCGTTAATCGCCTCTAATGCTACTATTCCACACAGACCACGAATCCCACGAATTGATAAATTTTAGGATTCGTAGTTGAATCGTAATCAGTTCGTGAAATTCTTAACTGATTCGCATATATTCGTAGTTAGTTCTTTCAATTCTTGAGCTATCGGAAATTCGTGGCAAAAGTTTTGAGCTGTTCAAAGTTTGGGCCACGAACTCCCGATTAAAAAATATCGTAGTTAATTCGTAACAAATTCGTAATGCATTCTTAGGCATCGTAACTGAATCGTAATCGATTCGTAGGCATTCGTAGGTATTCTTAACTCATTCGGGGATTCGTGAATTCGGGGCTTTACGACGAGTCGGCTACGAATCTATCACGAATCCCACGAAAACACGCCGAAGCAGGTACGAAGCTCACGATCCAATCACGAATCAGCTACGATTGCCGGGAAATTGGGTATATAAGGAAATTAACATTGATTTCAGGTCATTAGCTGCTGACGATTGTGCCATTATAACACGAAATTCACGATTCAGCAAGATGCTCTACGTTGGACATCCATTTTGAAGCTGATGCCCAAGCATGGGTGGGGGCCTTTTATAGCTATCTTGAGGGAATACCCCCAAAATTGTCAAGAATAGTCACTAATTCATTTTTATTCGTACCTGATTCGTACATGCATTCGGCGTATTCTTAATTGATTCCTAACTTCGTGCAGTATCCGTAATAGCTTCTTGTAAATCGTAGTGAATTCTTGACAATATTCATGCGAATCCAGCCGAATCCCACGAATATTCGTAACTTTTTCGTACCTGTATCGTAACTTAATCGTAGAGCGTCACGAATTGAACCAGAATATTTGATAAATTCCACGAATCCTAAAATTTACAAATCGTGGCGATTCGTGGGATTCGTGCTGTGTGTGGAATAGTAGCATTAGAACAAGCATGGGCTGCTGAAGACCAATTCTAACACGGATCTTTACGGGTGTATATAAAAGAAAGGACGTTTGTTTTGAGACTATTTATAGTAAAACGTGAATACTTGTATCTAATGTATTGATTTAATCATTGGTCTCCAATGAGATACGCATCGTGTCATAATATACAGTCCGAGTGAAGAGCGCCCATACCTTGCAAGGAGCCGAGCCTGACGCGCACGGAACCATCGATAAACATTTCCATCTTCATTGCGCTATATGATATGCATTGCCTCGCAAAAAATGCTCCCTTTATGAACATAAACTCTGCATTGACAGAGTAAGTTCGGCTGACTTTATATCTCCTACACCATGACGCTCAACGTTGTTCTTGCGGCAGATATTGGTTTTCCTTGCTGCAGATATTGGTTTTCCTGTGGAACATATTATGTGAATGAATTATCACGATAACAAACATGAAAAACGGGTATCTGATTAACGAAACCTAATCAGGTACATAATTCCGTTTCCGCTCGTCAAACTTCATATTTCCAGGCAATTGCATAGCATAATTCATAACCTTTTTCCGAAATGATTTCTGAAGATTTAAAGTTAATGATAAGCATGAATATTGTTTTGCTTATTATTACAAGACAATTTCAACAATAGATTGTTCATCGTTTGGGGGGCGGTCGGGTAGCTTAGTGGTTAAAGCGTTCGCTCGTCACGCCGAAGACCCGGGTTCGATTCCCGACATGGGTACAATGTGTGAAGCCCATTTCTGGTGTCCCCCGCCGTGATATTGCTGGAATATTCCTAAAAGCGGCGTAAAGCCATACTCACTCACTCACTCACTCATCGTTTGGGTGTGTGAAAAGAAGTCGAGTCTGGGTCACCCTCACCAGTGGGTGACAGTGTGGATGACGGTCCATGCCATCAGCGAACGATGACCTATGCTGCAGGTCCCTTCGAGGGGGGTGGTCTAAAGAGCTGTGCAGAGTTGCGTCCCTTTGGCTTGCCAAAATTCCTATGACCGTGGGTTCCAATACCATATTGTGTATCTTGGTTGCTTAGCATCCACCTGTGTTCGCGGGTGTCACCAAAGTGATAAACGTCTAAGACCTGCACCACCTCTTTCCCACACAGATATCCCATTCGTGACCAACATGCGCCATTCCTATTTGGAGGTTATGGGTCGGTAGACTAGTTTAGTGGTTACGTTCGCTCGTCGCGCCGTAGACCCGGGTTCGATTTTCAACATGGGTACGATGTGTGAAGCTCATTTCAGGCGTCCCCCGACGTGATATTGCTGGAATATTGCTGAAAACTATACACAATTGTAGATTACGTAAAGATGTGTTGTTTACAAGAAGTGATGAAGGCGGTTACGAGAGTCGCTCGGCATTCGTTACCAACTCGTCTCATACCGATAGTCTTGTTGTGCAGGTTACGGAAATGAGCAAGAAGTGGCGAATGTGATGTTGGGGTCTGTACATTTGTTCCAATTCATCAATATTTGCCCAAAACAAATCTGAGTCCAAGTTTTCGATTGTCATTTCCTTAATATTGACCAGTTTGAGAGGCTTTTGAACTCGACTGCAAGCTTTTGATGTTCTTCCGGAGGTTAAACCCATCTTCTGTTAATATACAAGCTTGACTTTATGACACATCACTGGCTGAAAAGAAATATTACTCAACTTATATTGCCTAGCGCATCAGCATTTTTACAATTAAGCTGCTTTCTTAAATACCTTTTTTTACAATTAACATTTGTATTTCCTAAATTGGATACTTGTAGAGAGAGTTGAGGGAGACAGATTTGAGAGTGTGGTGTGAGTGACCACCTAATCTGTTTCATCAAACAGTAAGCTCCAGTAAGCTATGTCTAGACGGGGTATCTGCGGACGGACACTGCCCGCTGTCCAGGGATTGGAAGTTAACAACGCCCTCCGGCCACAGACATCTCTCGTGTAGATGTAGATGTAGATGTGTGATAATGGCCGATGTAGGTCTGTCTACCTGGCAGAGCTTTCCCCATCGCCATGAACCTCGTGTCATGCGCTTCGTAATAAACCCTAGGGAAGGATAGGATCTTGGTGAGAATAACGTATTTTTATAACTTACAAATTCTGGTGTCTTACTACCTGACAGTTGTTCGTAGCACCTTCTGTCACGAAGACATAGGTCCATCTACCTGGCATACATAGGTAAGTCCATCTACCTGGCGGACAAAGGTAAGTCCATCTACCTGGCAGAGACAGGTAATTCGATCTATCAAGAGAGTGAGAGAGAGATCAAGAGAGAGAGAGAGAGATCAAGAGAGAGAGAGAGAGAGAGAGAAAGAGAGAGAGTCCTACGACATACAGTCTCAATCAAGTCACAAAGGTACGAATGCTTGACACCCAACAAACTCTATTTGATGAGTTTCAAGTTGCTAAGACACATCTAAATGACATATTGTCTTCACATGGATGCCTGCTGTCAATCCAGCACAAAGTGTTACATGTTGACAAAAAATAAAGTAAATGCATATGATGAAGCACTGTTTTATTAAAAGAATAGTTTTATCAAATGCAATGATGTTTCTTTGTTGAACTGTCATGTTGACCACCAGGCAGAATGGGACACTGTCTGGCAGAGCCAGGAATGCTCAAAGAAGAAAGGATACTCTGCTAAAATATAGAGCAGAAAAACATTGTGACACAAATCCTCCTGTCAGATATAGAACAGAGAGAACAGGTCAAGTATGCAGTCAATGATTGACACATGGTTGTGATTGCTATGGTGTTCTTTCTTGAAAATCTTTATTGAAATCAAATCATTCTGAAATGAGAACAGCTTTAACCTGACAGCCCAACTGTACAGCACTACCTAACCCTGACAATATACGATAGCCTCAACAGGGACAGAGCATCATCATCCTCAGTATAGTGACCTCATCGTCCTCAGTCTAGTGACCTCATCATCTTCAGTATAGTGACCTCATCGTCCTCAGTATAGTGACCTCATCGGCCTGAGTATAGTGACCTCATCGTACACAATGTCAGCCTCAGGAGCAACACCTCGCAACTCGCTGCAACACCATCCTGCTGTTGGTCCTACAAGCGTCCTGTTTGCAGCAGGGTGTGTTTGGTGACAAAGTCAAGGTTGAGGGTCCCAGGGAGCATCTTGAGGGCACGGCTGTGGATGTTGATGGTAGCCTCCGGACTACCTTTTGGGTGGTTGGTCTCTTGGCGGAGGTAGTCTATCCACAGATCTGAAGGGCAAGAATACCATGGCTAGATTACAAACACTCTAGTTTTTTGGTGGAGGTCATCTATCCACAGATCTGAAGGTCAAGAACACCATGGCTAGATTACAAACACTCTAGTTTCTTGGTGGAGGTCATCTATCCACAGATCTGAATATCAAGGATACCATGGCTAGATTACGAACAATGGAGCTTGACACTGAACGTCAGCAATATCACAGCTATGTTAAATCTACACATAACTGAGTCTTGAATACACAGACCTAAGGGTTCTGAGACCTTGCATTGTGACACCAGGCTTTATGATAGACTTATGACTCTGTGTAGCTACAGGGTGCAGGCTTACAGTGTGAACTGCTAGGGTACACACACTATCTGGCAGGTCATCACAAGGAGTTTCCTTGTGGCTTCTCCTGTGCCACTGGATGCTAACCAGGAGTAGATCCCAAGGCTCACACTTACTTATGTTTAAATGTGTTGTTTCTGAAAATGGGTGAGACATCATGTTAAAGAGAACACCCCCAAATCCAGATCAGTTAAAGCCCTAGTCAGGCTTTCTGTTACAAATATAGTGTTTGCAAGTACTTTGCAAAACCAGAAGCAGCCCCTTTGATACCATTTAAGAAGGCCCAAGAAATCATTACATACAGTGGTGGCTTTACCTACTGTCTCATCCAACTGATTTAGGGCAACACATGAATCCACACACTGAGCCTACCTGGCTGGAACTTGCCAAACTCCTGCACGGCATCTTCGTACCCTTGCCGCAGGTGCTTGAGCTTCGGTTTCGGCTGCAGGAGAGAGATATCACATATAGAACAGAGAGGAGATATCACATATAGAACAGAGAGGATATATCACATATAGAACAGAGAGGATATATCACATATAGAACGGGAAGGATATATCACATATAGGACAGGGTATATCACATATAGAACGGGAAGGATATATCACATAAAGAGCAGGGAGGATATGTCATATATAGGACAGGGAAGATATATCACATAAAATAGAGAGGGGATATCACATATAGAACGGGAAGGATATATCACATATAGAGCAGGGAGGATATGTCATATATAGGACAGGGAAGATATATCACATAAAATAGAGAGGGTATATCACATATAGAACAGGGAGGATATATCACATATAAAATAGAGAGGGTATATCCCATATAGAATGGGGAGGATAAATCACATATAGAACAGGGAGGATAAATCACATATAAAATAGAGAGGATATATCCCATATAGAACAGGGAAGATATATCACATATAGAACAGGGAGGATATATCCCATATAGAACAGGGAAGATATATCACATATAAAATAGAGAGGGTATATCCCATATAGAATGGGGAGGATATACACATATAGAACAGGGAAGATATAACACTTTTAGAACAGGGAGGATATATCACATATAGAACAGGGAGGAAATATCACATATAAAATAGAGAGGGTATATCCCATATAGAACAGGGAAGATATATCACATATAAAATAGAGAAGGTATAACACTGAACAGGAAGGATATATCATTCATAGTGCTGGTATATAAACTTGGTGAGAGTGAGTTGGGTTTAACACCGCTTTGAACAGTATTCCAATTGTATCACAGCGTTTCAGCTTCATGTGGGATGAGATTGAGGTGATGCAAGTCTTGGATGTTTACCAATTTGGTGAAACCCACGAGCATAGGTATGGTGCTGACAAACCTAGAAACATAATCAAGGTGAACCGGGATTCGAACCCATGATTGTAGCTTTCTGGCATGGCCAAGGGGAGAGCACTGCACAACAAATCATGGCACCTCAGATGAATATAGAACAGATATGATTGATAGTGCTGGTATACCTTACAGAGAGCGTGCATCACTGATAGTGGTGGAGAGAGTGAGTGAGTTAAAATTTAATGTCACATCAGCATTATTCCAGCCCCATAACGACGAGTGATAGTGGTGGGATAGGGACACATGTGGGGTTTCAATTCAGAGCTCTGTTAACTGTCATTCAGATGTTGCTAAATTTAACATTTTAAAACCCAACTTGCAAGAAATAATGATGAGATGTTTGTCAAAACACACTGACTTTATCACATCATCAAATCCTGCTCCCCTCCTCTGGGTGACATCGACATGAACAGCATTCAGCCTCCTTTGTGTCAACTTTATTACAGAACATCCGTCATAATGAATCACCTCACACCATTTTAAAACATCTTGATAAATGAATAGACTGGAAAGGCGGTATTGATTTGTACAAATTGTAAAGTTTGGCATCAGTGTGATTGCAGTGTTTCCAACAAACTCTACGAGAATGTGCCGACACCTGACTACTGGACGTTACTCACGTCCCATGAGGCCGTGCTACCAACAAATCAAACCCTCGCTAATATCACACTGTGGTAGAGGAGGTGACAGATTAGCCTATGGTGGAGCCAAGGGCATCGTTAACTTGTAATGAAATTTATGTCAGGGAAGACTTCTCCTGGCACTAGATTGGACAACAAGTGGTGTTTAGGGAGCAACTGACATCGTGTTAAACATCACAGCAACCACGAGCACGAGAACTGTGATCGTCACTGCCTGAACTTGAAGCAAAGCCATCTAAGGAGCCGCCTGTTTGCCTGGTGTCCGACCTGAGCATGTTACAGAGATCAGTATTAATTCAACTCCAAGGAGATTGTGCCGACATTAAAGAACACTGTTTCTCTGACCCCCCCAGCAAAGACCTGGTCTGACACTAAGACGGTGTGTAGGTGACAGGCTGCGTGTGTTGCTGCAGTGAAGGGTGGTGGCACTTTTTCTGTCCAGATTATCATCTGCTGGGATGGCACAGGAGTAGGGAGCTGCCCTGCTGATGCATTCCCCTCACTGTGGGGTGTACAACACACAAAGCAAGTGCACTCCACGTGTACAATGTCCTGAATATTCCAATACACAAAACCATGTCAAGAGGTGAGGTGACATGGAGTTTAACGTCACATTCATTAATGCACTAATATATGATGTGTGTGTGTGTGTGTGTGAGAGAGAGAGAGAGAGAGAGAGAGAGAGAGAGAGAGAGAGAGAGAGAGAGAGAGAGTGTGTGTGTGTGTGTGTGAGAGAGAGAGAGAGAGTGTGTGTGTGTTTGAGAGAGAGTGTGTGTGTGAAAGACAGAGTGTGTGTGTGTGAGAGAAAGAGTGTGTGTGAGAGAGAGAGAGTGTGTGTGTGTGTGAGAGAGAGAGTGTGTGTGTGTGTGTTTGGTGTGGGCTGGGTGAGTGGCACTTAATGCTGGACACCAGGTAGGGTATCAAGTGTCATCTTTTGATGTCCTTCGGTATGATGCGACCGGGGATTGAACCACTGACCGTCTGCTCTCAAGGCAGATGCTCTATCCATTTATTTCCTCCACCTGTCTACCAAACAGGATAACTTCAAACAGAAACTGTAATCCATTGAACCAAAAACTGACCCAAAATTGTGAAAGATGCATTAAATGGACTTGCTGGGCTGTGCTACCATTTCAAGCAGTAGCACAGGGAGTGGCCTATTTGATAATCATTATAAAGAGAAAGGTGTACGTGAGAGTGGGGGATGTGCTGTTTTAAGCTGTACTGTAGCAATATCACCGCACTGGCACATTGGACAGTTCCACACTGCTTCAAACATATCTCAGGCACAGATGCTTAGTGTGTGAAACGTCCAAAGTGATGCTGGTGAAACCATCTGTTTTGTTTGTTTGTTGTTTAACGCCACACTCAGCAATATTCTAGCTATATGGCAGCGGTCTGTAAATAATCGAGTCTTGACCAGACACCCTCAGCAAAGGAGATTGACATTGATTGACATGGGCATCGATCCATGCAATTGGGATATGATGACATGCATCAACCAAATCAGCCTGACCACCCGATCCCGTTACTAGCCTCTTACGGCAAGCGTATGAAACGCTCTGTGTGTCTGAACCTCTAGTTGACTCTTCAACCCACAGAGAACACGAGTTTGATAATAATGATAACAACAGGCATCTGTAATGTGAAGAGTCCACCCACAGATGTATGCTTATGGCTCAACATTATCATTCCCGTTCAGTGTATCAGTGTACACGCAAATTTCTTTATCAGTTCCATGGGGAGTATACAACTCGAGCTGCCTTAAACCTGAAGGGTTAGTCACAATACCATCTCATCCTACCGGGTACCCATTCAGTTTCGAACAAATTTGCTTGAGGTGACACCACATGTAGCATTTGTTGAAGTCAAGATTGCACCCATCCACCTACTCTCCACCACCTTGAGCTGCTTAAGTTCGCCTGATTTGTAACCTGTGTATTATACAGAGCCACAAGCCTCCAAACGATGATAATAATTCAGTGCAATACATGAAACAGTGATCGGGAATTTGGTTCTAACAACACATATAGGTTATTAGAAACATTTTGAAATAATTCAAAACACAAAGTAAATATATGACTCTATCATGTTCTGAACACTGATCGAACAGAACATCTCTGGGACCGTTCATCAAAATAACAAAATTATAATGATCAAACCATTTTACAACATGTCAGCTATTGATATTCAATGAATATTTTTGCCCTTGGGAGAAGACGATTCGAAAACCATTTTCCACTGGCGTAGAAAGGTCCATATCTTCCCATATCTCACTTGACCGCGCATCCACATTTAAGACATATTGAGCCTTCCCCATGACAAGACGGATTAATTCTGTTCATATTCACTCTGCACCTGCCGGAACACAATCTGGGAGAGTTAAGAAATCCATTACACACTACCCCGGTGTCCTCAACTCTCGTACATCGCCCCGTAACTTACAGTCGGGGCTCCGTTGTCTAATCAAAGCGTTTTATGACCGTTAATATCCATCATAGCAGTGCTTATTCCTAATCAACCTTACTTCAGGAATTTGGTAATGACGTCTTTTTTATGCAAAGATAGGTTTTTATAGTTGGATTATTCAGTGGAGTTTGGTGCCGGTCTCATCGAGAGCTCGGCAACTCAGCACGCAAATTACGCGCTGCCAATCAATCGTGATCAATTCTCATTATGGGAAAGCATGCAGCCTGCACAAATTGTTCTATAATCAACACAGAATGAACCTGCACCATTGTCAGCTGATATGACCTTAAACGAAATAAGCCGTCTAAGTGATTTCTGTGAGCATGGGTTTAACAACTAGTACAAGAAGTGATTTGCACAGAATCCCACAACGAAAACACACATCTTAGCAGACATCACTTGCAGAACGATTTCTGAAAATTTCAAAATTACCATAAAGAAAAAAATGAGAATAGTATTGAATAGGAAATTAGATTTAAATGGGGCATGACTCAACACTTAATGGTCGGTGAGAGGTATGTATATAGTACTTCCCTGACATCTAGACATCAGTCCAACAACCTCAGACAGTGATTGCCTTGATAAATGTCACACCAGGTTAAAATTTGTACTTTCATTTATTTGTCAACAAACAGTTTTGTTTACATGGGTAGTATTTTATCCCACCAGGAGCTGGTGATACAAGCTTTAGTATCTCATAAACCTCTCCCGGGTTCTTTCCCTGCCCAGTAAGTAGGTAATTAACAGCTGGTGGATTTCTCAATCCTCTTTTCATGACCGGGCACTCAACAAGCGGGGAGTAGGCCATAAATCTTCCCTAGCCCGTAAAGCCTCTTAACTAAACATGGCTGCTTCTACTGGAGATTAGTCAAATTCAATTTAGTCTCTCCATGGGCTTGGAAAGGATAGCAACATCTAATCCCCCAATACACCAACAGCCCATCAGACTTCAACCCACTAGCCTCATCTAGAGAGTTACTTTCCTTACAACTAATAATATTTCCTTACAACTAATAATATATTGATGGCCAATGTGATGGTTTATATGTTTAATCTGACATGGTACTTAACCATCTTTCGCAGCTTCAGTCGCTCAGTGTTCAGTGAACAACTCTGTTGAATGCAGCCAGAAGATGCTGAGACTACTGTGGAAAATGGTACTGATATCAGTGTCTAGTTTTCAAGAATTAATTCCTCAAATCTAATAGTTGATTACATTAACTGTAACTTTAACACTGTATAAATGTAAATAATTCTATTTTAACCTCTAAAATGTACTTATTTAAGACAATTTGTACTTTGTATTTTAGCTGAAAACTAATAAAATATATTCCAATCTATTTTGTTTTATGGATGAACCTATGCTCATTTTTTTAAGTGTAAAATATATAGGAAAGTTGCTGAAGTTGATTGAAAATATATATTTATCTTGAGCATCTTTTTGTTTGTTATTTGTTTTACTTTAATTCCAAGAGGATGTTTTTACAAATTACACTCAAATCAATCCTGACAATATTATCTATTCTTAATCCAGACTTTCATCACACAGACTGAAACAATCAGTAAGACAACAATGCAACATCTCTGGGTAAAGATAGCAATGAAAGTCTAGCAGGGAGTTAGTGGTTACATAGCTTTTACCAACAATGCAGTATATAAAAAACCCACATCAAACAATTTACCTATTTGAGAAGCGAACCAGATTCTTAGGTATGATGAACAAAACCTGTATCTCCTGGTCTACCCACATGCTGGTTTGGGCTGAGAAAGTGATGACGTGCTAAAAGGTATGTTGTACCACCTCGTGCATCCTCAAGTTCCACAACTGTGACTCACTCACTCACTTTCACTCTCTCTGTTGTACCACCTCGTGCATCCTCATGTTCCCCAACCGTGACTCAGTCACTCACACTCACTCACTCTGTTGTACCACCTCGTGCATCCTCAAGTTCACCAACCGTGACTCACTCACTCACACTCACTCACTCTGTTGTACCACATCGTGCATCCTCAAGTTCCCCAACCGTGACTCACTCACTCACTCACTCACTCACTTGTACCACCTCGTGCATCCTCATGTTCCCCAACCGTGACTCAGTCACTCACACTCACTCACTCTGTTGTACCACCTCGTGCATCCTCAAGTTCCCCACCGTGACTCACTCACTCACACTCACTCACTCTGTTGTACCACATCGTGCATCCTCAAGTTCCCCAACCGTGACTCACTCACTCACACTCACTCTCTCTGTTGTACCACCTCGTGCATCCTCAAGTTCCCCAACCGTGACTCACTCACTCACTCACTCTGTTGTACCAACTCGTGCATCCTCAAGTTCCCCAACCGTGACTCACTCACTCACTCACTCTGTTGTACCACCTCATGCATCCTCAAGTTCCCCAACCGTGACTCACTCACTCACTCACTCTGTTGTACCACCTCATGCATCCTCAAGTTCCCGAACCGTGACTCACACACTCACTCACTCTGTTGTACCACCTTGTGCATCCTCAAGTTCCCCAACCATGACTCACACACTCACTCACTCACTAACTCACACTCACTCACTCTGTTGTACCACCTCGTGCATCCTCAAGTTCCCCAACCGTGACTCACACACTCGCTAACTCACTCTCACTCACTCTGTTGTACCACCTCGTGCATTCTCAAGTTCCCCAACCGTGACTCACTCACTCACTCTCACTCACTCTGTTGTACCAACTCGTGCATCCTCAAGTTCCCCAACCGTGACTCACTCACTCACTCTCACTCTCTCTGTTGTACCACCTCGTGCATCCTCAAGTTCCCCAACCGTGACTCACTCACTCACTCACTCTGTTGTACCACCTCGTGCATCCTCTAGTTCCCCAACCATGACTCACTCACTCTCACTCACTCACTCACTCTGTTGTACCACCTCATGCATCCTCAAGTTCCCCAACCATGACTCACTCACTCACTCACTCTGTTGTACCACCTCATGCATCCTCAAGTTCCCTAAACGTGACTCACTCACTCACACTCACTCACTCTGTTGTACCACCTCGTGCATCAAGTTCCCCAACCGTGACTCACACACTCACTCACTCTGTTGTACCACCTCGTGCATCCTCAAGTTCCCCAACCGTGACTCACTCACTCACTCTCACTCACTCTGTTGTACCACCTTGTGCATCTTCTAGTACCGTGGTCAGCCGTGGTCAGCCATTGTATTCATGCTAAAATTTGCTTAACACTCACTCAGTCAAGACACTGCCCTGGTACTGATTGCAACACACATGTTTAGCATGTCTAATAGAGCCAGCAAACCTCGGAGGACCCCACCTCAATCAACCCTCCACAACACAACATTACCTGGCATGAACTTGCACATGCCATCCACCCATTACCAAACCAACCACATGTCTCGAGACGCCTGCAGACAGCCGTGCCATGTATTAAGATATTTCAGGAATCTGACTTCCTGGCCATGGCAGTGATAGTGTTCAGGGCCATAATTACCCCCTCACCACCCCCGGTGCTGCAGTGATGGGGAGACATCAGCTCACAGGACGTTCAATAGAACAATAGATTACCTGACAGGTAATACTGCACACCTGTGTGATAACAGCCAGTAAATAATGATTGTACATTTCTTTTGTTGCAGTTGGTTGAGACACTCGAGTGGTGTTTTGTGTGCGTGTAATGTTGTAATGTTGCAGTGACAAGAAGTTCCTCATCAAGACCTCCCCGATCCATCAAGTTGCTTCTTATGACCCACAGGTTGCTGGGGACCTATTCTAACCCACAATCACTGCTGGGAAGCTTGGGGCATCACCAACTCACCTGGGAATTCTCCATGTTGATGTATTTTGTGAAGAAGTCAAGAGACACCGGTTTCAGCGGAACCAATCTGAAACAGGACCATGTAGCTATAACCAGCACCCCAAAATACAGAATCACCGAGTCAACGATGAGACAAGATGTAATTGAACATTGCCAGTCAGTAGTTTTGACAATCAATGTCCAATGTTTCAAGTTCAATTGGTCCCCCAATGTTTCAAGTGTTCAGTCATGTAGCCAGCATCTTCATGGTGCCCAGTGCCTCAGCACAAGAACATCAGAAACAATTGAGAACCTTGCCTTTAAACTGTGCATGACAAATCATGTTAAAATCATACATCTCTCAGGCAGACCCACTGGAAGTCTCAGATCTCCCGGACAAGCCAGCCTCAGTTGTCTCAGATCTCCCTGACTACCCTGTCTTAGATCTCTCCAACTAGCCTCCCTTAGATCTCCCCAACTAGCCTGTCTCAGATCTCCCCAACTAGCCTGTCTCAGATCTCCCCAACTAGCCTGTCTCAGATCTCCCAATCTAGCCTGTCTTAGATCTCTCCAACTAGCCTGCCTTAGATCTCCCCAACTAGCCTGTCTCAGATCTCCCCAACTAGCCTGTCTCAGATCTCCCCATCTAGCCTGTCTCAGATCTCCCAATCTAGCCTGTCTCAGATCTCCCCAACTAGCCTGTCTCTGATCTCCCCATCTAGCCTGTCTTAGATCTCCCCAACTAGCCTGTCTCAGATCTCCCCAACTAGCCTGCCTTAGATCTCCCCAACTAGCCCGTCTTAGATCTCCCCAACTAGCCTGTCTTAGATCTCCCAAACAAGCCTGTCTTAGATCTCCCCAACTAGCCTGTCTCAGATCTCCCCAACTAGCCTGTCTCAGATCTCCCCAACTAGCCTGTCTTAGATCTCCCCAACTAGCCTGTCTCCAATATCCCCAACTAGCCTGTCTCAGATCTCCCCAAATAGCCTGTCTCCGATATCCCCAACTAGCCTGTCTCAGATCTCCCCATCTAGCCTGTCTCAGATCTCCCCAACTAGCCTGTCTCAGATCTCCCCAACTAGCCTGTTTCAGATCTCCCCAACTAGCCAATCTCCGATATCCCCATCTAGCCTGTTTCAGATCTCCCCAACTAGCCTGTCTTAGATCTCCCCAACTAGCCTGTCTCACATCTCCCCATCTAGCCTGTCTTAGATCTCCCCATCTAGCCTGTCTTAGATCTCCCCAACTAGCCTGTCTAAGATCTCCCCAACTAGCCTGTCTCAGATCTCCCCAACTAGCCTGTCTCAGATCTCCCCATCTAGCCTGTCTCAGATCTCCCCAACTAGCCTGTCTTAGATCTCCCCAACCAGCCTGTCTTAGATCTCCCCAACCAGCCTGTCTCAGATCTCCCTAACTAGCCTGTCTTAGATCTCAGCAACTAGCCTGTCTTAGATCCTCCATCTAGCCTGTCTCAGATCTCAGCAACTAGCCTGTCTTAGATCTCTCCATCTAGCCTGTCTCAGATCTCCCCATCTAGCCTGTCTCAGATCTCCCCAACTAGCCCATCTTCGATCTTCTCCCTGACTAGCCAGCCTCCGATCCTATTCTCAATGCTTTTGGTAGTATCAGTCACTCACCTCTCATACACCTTCCGAGCATGTATGATGCCCTGGGACAAGAAGGCCCATTCCAGATACAGTTCCTTTGCAGGTCTGCTGACTTCTCGACAGCACAGTATGGCTTCCTGAATAACACCCAACAGAGTTGTATGAAAGGACTCCAGTTTGTCCACTCAAGTACTGAGTGAGTGAGTGAGTGAGTGAGTGAGTGAGTGAGTGAGTGAGTGAGTGAGTGAGTGAGTGAGTGAGTGAGTGAGTGAGTGAGTGAGTGAGTGAGTGAGTGAGTGATGGCGGGGGAAATTGGCTTCAAGTACCCATGTGGGGAACTGAACCCAGGTCTTCGAATGCTTTAACCACTGGGCTACCCCACCGCCCCACTGAATATTTCACAAAAGACTGCTAAAAAGAAACATTCAGTAACATCAAGAAATCATAACTATGACCTGAATGGCGGACTGAGGGGTGGATGTCAGACACTACACTACAGAGGGAATGAGGGGTCAGTGTGTGTTGTGACCGACTGAGCTCACCTCCATCAGCTTGTCAAGGGTGTCTGTTTCCCCGGTGCCCATCAGATGGTGCAGCATCATCTCCCACACAGGCCAGCTCACCTGCAACAGCAGCAACATCATCAGAACAACCACCTACCCTCACAACAACAGATTGAATGTCTTGGAATAGGTCTTCAGCTACCCATGCTTGTTGTAAGAGGCGACTAACGGGATCTGGTAGTCAGGCTTGATGACTTGGTTGATGCATGTCATCGTATCTCAATTGCGTAAATCGATGCTCATGTTATCAATCACTTGATTGTCTGGTCCAGACTCGATTATTTACAGACCACTGTCATATGGCTGGAATATTGCTGAGTTCGGCGTTAAACAACAATTAAACAATCCTGATCCTGTTAGTGGCCATTTATGACAAGCACAGTCGCCGTTGTGGCAAGCATGGGTTGGTGAAGACCTATGCCAATGTGGATCTTCACAGGTATTCAGTAAAAGTAATCTCCTGCTCCATCACATAACTCCAGCAGCAAACAACTATATTTACATCACATATTATACAACAACAACCATGCGTACCAGGCACATATTTTCTACCAGGCACATATTCTCTACCATCAACAACAGAGAAAATGCTGGTGCAATTCATATTTAAATCTTTGATCACAACCTGGAGTCAGTCAAATCGAAGGGGAGCAAAAAGTCAACAAAGCCCTCATAAAATCAGTCCCTGGGCCTCTGGCTTACTGCTGCCGATGACAAGGGTGCCAGTCTCACGCTGCTTCTCATAATGTCCCAGTCACACAGGGAGCCATGACACCATCCACTGCTTGAATGAATCACAAGCCCTTGTCCTGGTCGCTCCATCTTAACATATTCTGGGGGCTTTGCAAATGAATCAATATTTCTTTACTGATGTGTTATTGAGATGAGAAATTAGTGAGCATATTCCAAGATTTGAGAGATGAGACAAACCTCACATGAACATATTCCTGTGACTTGAAAGATGAGACAAATCACATGTGAATACATTCCTGTGATTTGAGATGATATAAATCACATGTGAATACATTCCTGTGATTTGAGATGATATAAATCACTTGTGAATATATTCCTGTGACTTGAAAGATGAGACAAATCACATGTGAACATATTCCTGTGATTTGAGATAATATAAATCACTTGTGAATATATTCCTGTGATTTGAGATGATATAAATCACATGTGAATACATTCCTGTGTTTTGAGATGATATAAATCACGTGAATATATTCCTGTGTTTTGAGAGATAAAACAAATCACATGTGAATACATTCCTGTGATTTGAGAGATGCTATAAATCACATGTGAATACATTCATGTGATTTGAGAGATGAGACAAATCACATGTGAATACATTCCTGTGATTTGGGAGATGAAACAAATCACATGTGAATATATTCCTGTGATTTGAGAGTTGAAACTAATCACATGTGAATACATTCCTGTGATTTGAAAGATGAAACAAATCACATGTGAATATATTCCTGAGACTTGAGAGATGAGACAAATCACATGTGAATAGATTCCTGAGACTTGAGAGATGAAACAAATCATATGTGAATACATTCCTGTGATTTGAGAGATGAAACAAATCACATGTGAATACATTCCTGTGATTTGAAAGATGGAACAAATCACATGTGAATACATTCCTGTGATTTGAAAGATGAAACAAATCACATGTGAATATATTCCTGACTTGAGAGATGAAACATATCATATGTGAATACATTCCTGTGATTTGAGAGATGAAACAAATCACATGTGAATACATTCCTGTGATTTGAGAGATGAAACAAATCATATGTAAATATATTCCTGAGACTTGAGAGATGAGACAAATCACATGTGAATACATTCCTGTGATTTGAGAGATGCTATAAATCACATGTGAATATATTCCTGAGACTTGAGAGATGAGACAAATCACATGTGAATACATTCCTGTGACTTGAAAGATGAGACAAATCCCATGTGAATACATTCCTGTGACTTGAAAGATGATATAAACCCCATGTGAATACATTCCTGTGACTTGAGAGATGATATAAATCCCATGTGAATACATTCCTGAGATGTTTAGATGTTTCTGGGGTATCAAGTTTCAGATGAGGTATTGTCTTGACAACCTACACTATCTACAAGCCAACAGAACCTCTGGTTCAGAAGAGCCAGACATTGATCTACATGGGCTTCTTGTTGTGTGACCAGTGCTCAGATTCAGATCTTTAACTGATTTGTTGCAGATTTTAGCAGTTGTTGCATCATGTCATGTTAATGATGACATTTAAATATCCATAACGGATTGTCAAATCTAAGGCCCATCCCGATCAGAGCGACTATTCTGCAACATGGCCAGATAGAAATCATGGGATAAATTATGGAGCAATTGATCGAATATTCGGTTAAATAATTCATCTGGACATTCAAAACAATTATTGACTACTAATATATGTAATCAATAAAGCAAGTCCGATCCTAAATAATCAATTAATAATCAATCTGCGAGCTCCGATTATCGAATATTCAGGGTGATGACCAACACAAGGAGCCATGTTGTATGGCGGTCCCTGCCCTTGACGTCCCTGCCCTGGACGACCCTTGGTTTCCAATGACATAAATACCCCTTACACCTACTCCTGACTCATACTACAGGAGGATGTGTGATTTGCTGCAGTAAACAAAGACAGGAATGGCAAGTGACTTCTATTTGTCGTCAAATTCTGGCAAAACTTCATGATTAGTCTTTGTCTCAGCAAGTCAGATTGTGGAAGTCACACTCGTCTATATATAGTTAATCAATACAGAAATTTACAAGAGACACTAAATTGATAGAATTCTAGTGTAAATTAAATCATAAGATTATTTACAGAAAAGAGCAATTGTGTAAAATGAAACTTGCGGATGATATTTGCTCTTTTTGTAAATCTTCAAGTGAAAGTATATTCCATGTTTATATTGCATGGGATGATATCAATGGTTTCTGGAGAGTACTGGAACAGCAACTGAATGAGAACTTTCAAGATAGGTTTCATGTTACAGCATTTTCCATTCTGTTTTGCTGATAGGAGAAAATATGATTTGTTTGTTGTTTAAGCCGCACTCAGCAATATTCCAGGTATATGACGGCGATCTGTAAGTAATCGAGTCTGGACCAGACAATCCAGTAATTGACAACATGAGCATCGATCTACGCAATTGGGATCGATGACATGCATCAACAAGGTCAGCGAGCCTGACCACCTGATCCCGTTAGTCGCCTCTTACGACAAGCATAGTTGCCTTTTACGGCAGGAAGGGTTGCTGAAGACCTATTCTACCCCGGATCTTCACAGGCCCAAGAAAATATGAAATTACATCATCACATATTACTGTAATTTCATATTTGCTTGAAATTTCTTGGGATTTCATATTTGTAATTTCAAGAAAATATGAAATTACATCATCACATATTACTGTTAGCAAAAAGACATATTCCTATATCAAATATTAAAAGCGTCAAACCATCTTTTGAATGCTGCATAAAGTATATATCATCTGTATGCAAAATAAAAAAATCTGTAGCAATTACAAGAAACATACATCATAACTTAAAGAAATGGAAACCACTTGCAGATAACATTTTATAATATTTATGAAGTATCATAATGTGTGTCTACTGCCATATAGCCTAATCTAATGTCTGCTGTCCATTTCAAGCTGTTTTATTTGTTCAAAAGACATGTGTCATCCATTGTATATTAAATGTAACATATCAGCCTTCGGAAAATAAAAAATATATGAAAAATATATAAAAAAAAAGAAAAGAAAAAAAGTCACACTCTTCTAATATATAAAAATTGCCTCAGCTATTTGCCCTTTCCCCCAGACACTAGGCGAGATCTCACATAGTGAGTGGGATTTGGCCTTGTGACATGACTGCGGGCATGACGTGTAATGTCATCATATGAATGTGGGCATACAACAATGTATCTTAAAACACAATTGAAATGTCTGTCACTGACTAGAAACCTGCAGTAGATCTGATTCATTCGAGTAGCGAAAACACAAATATTAGTCACTGATATTTGCCTGAAGCGTAAGTGAATCAGAATTACTGCCTATTTCAATGAAATGTCTATAACTTTAATACAAGAGTGAGTAACTGAGTGAGTGGGTGGGTGAGTGAGTGAGTGAGTGAGTGAGTGAGTGAGTGGGTGGGTGGGTGGGTGGGTGAGTGGATGGGTGGGTGGGTGGATGAGTGAACATTTTAAATAACCGAGTTTGGACCAGGCTCAAATTCTTGGAGACGTATTCTACCCACAGGTTCAAAATACAAGAAATACAAAACGAAACATTCTGATAATCGATTGGTTGTGGAGAATTAATCACTAACATAAAAAATGAATAAAGAACATCCCTCCAGTGGAGGAGTATGTCAGCGACACTTCATGATATTCAGCCAATTGCCAACTCCGACACAGACCTGTCTGCTACCCTCAGACCAGTGGTAAATGGCGGCACTGAGACAGGTAACAAATTGTAAAGTCAAACGCAGCTTAATTTGACATGCCGCTGTAACTACAACTTGGAACACAAAGTAATCAATGTTTTATGTGTAAAACAACAGAGCTGGGGTTCCGCAAGGTAAGCAAACAAGACAACCGATTGCGGAACATTTGCTGGAGACAGGTGTGAGAGGGGCAGGCGTGACGTCAGGGTTCTGCCGTGGCGAAACGATGCATATACTACACGCTGGAAGCAAGCTGCAAACATACTCTGCTACACACGAGCAGGGAATACAAACATGTAACAACCACTTGATACATCTAACACACTTTTTATGGTCAAATTTGTTGTCATTATCAGGTAGTGTTCCTCGTTGCTACTGGTGGGAGAGGCCCTGTCACGGGGTCACGTCGCGGGATCAGGTCATGTGAGAGGCTGTTATGTCACACCGCACTTCAGGGTGAGATCTATCAATCACACTCCACATCAAAACAAAGTCATGGGAAACAAATGAAAACCAACAGGCAAAAAATATCAAATCAGTTTCTTGTTTTTTCAGTTTCAACTTTTTGTCT